CATGAAAGCATCTGAAGATTGATTTTAGGCTATCTGCACTGGTGCCGATCCTATAGCTGGCCACTTCTTCTACTTCCTGTCAAGCGCTTGAGGCAGCTGAAAGATGACAATGATAAATAGTGTATTCATGAGGTATAAAGCATGAAATTCTCAATTTCAGCTGCACTCTGTGCACTTCCTGCTTCCATTCTGAAAGGAGCATTATTCGATGCTTAGAAACCACCTTGCTCAAGCAGACGAATGCGCCTGCCTGCCGAAATCTATGGTTGTACATACACTGAACGGCAGTACCTCTCGGCGAAATAATTTTCTGCCATCTTTGAGTCTCAACGTAACTCAATGACCAAATCTGACATCGACACTCTACTCAGTCCTCAACGGAAAATGTCAACTTCAAATTTTTCATGTACGTTTATACTGTGTGCTAATTTTAACCTGTAAGGTATCAAACTCAGACTAGTCAAGGCGAACTGCAGCTGTAAGGCGCCAGCCTGCATGAGAAAGCATGATCGTATATCTGTTAAGTTTTGGCACGACCATACCACACACCATGATATTCTCAAGCCACACATGCTATACCTTATTTGGGCTCGTCGCATCGAAACAAAGTGAAGGAAATTAATGGGTGAAGGGAATTAGCAACTAATTGGCCCATAAAAATTAGCTTCACAAACTGTGTCGATCAGGCTGACTGGAGGGAAGGGCGGAAGGGGGGAACAATTGGTCTGAAAATTGAAACGCAACACGAATAGTGAATTTTCTCTTGTTAGTTGCCAACTCCTCTGACCCCACTATGCTTTGCTGCAACCCTCCAAAAATTGACAGCTGGTTGTTGATCTGCCAATAATAGCGACAGCGAGGTGCATTGGTGTGGTCATTCCAGTCAGTGCCAAATATACCCTAATGTTATTTCATGCGTACGTTACAAGAAGGCAACTTGTACTAACTCTTTGATGGCTGATCAAAGTTCATCTCAAGGTATGACCGTAAATTTAAATTTAACTTGACCTGCATCTTCATCTTCCATTGCCGTTTCTCCTTTCAGGTCGCGGAGACAGACACATCAGACAGAGCTGCCAACGTTCCTGATCCTGTGCCAGAGTCTGAGCTTCGGCAAAAGACAAATGGAGTCTGGAAACAGACTCCTTCCATATGTTTGCACCAGGATAACCTTGGCCGTCCCCTGGGCCTTTGCCGGTCGGATTTGTAAGGAACAGTTGCTTAGCCTTCTTTTCTGGAGGCATTCGCAACACATGCCCA